AAGCCCCAACTCATGTCAAGAAATTGAGACCATTCCTGCATGCCCATAATGATGCTCATCCTAAGGCAGAGGACATGAAGAAGAGGAAGGACAAGGGTCTGAGAAAAGGAGAACAAATTATCCCTATCTTCCTAGGTACAAGAAGACAGTTGTGGATTACAGGTTCAATACCATAGAGCAAGAAGACTTCTATGAGATTATACTGCTACAGAAGAAGCCAGCTGTAAGTTAGGTGAAGTGGGTGGACTGGAAATTCATTGATAAACATCCAAATAACTTCCCCAATGTGCAAGAGAACTTCAAGATTCTGAACATCGATAAGTTTGTGAGTGATGTGAAGTCTGACTGGTGGGACCGATGTGCTAGGGCTTAGGGCAAACTTCATCTCGGTGGCACCGATTGCATCATCTCAGCGGGACCAAAGTGAATGCAATGAGCAATAGAGAATATGTCAAGCCAACTCGGTGGGACCGATTGCAACAACTCAGTGAAACCAAAGTGAATGCAACAAGTCACAGAGCACTGGCAAGGCCATCTCGGTGGGTCCGAGATCCGTATCGGTGTAACCAAACTATTAGGGTTTCTGGCAGTGGCTATGTGATGATGAACTCGGTGGCTCCGAATGGAAGATATCGGTGGGGCCGATTTGGAGTTTAGGGTTTGACATATTTGGATAGAGAAAGTGGCTGAGGGTTTTGGATCAATATCACTAAGCATTTCACCAATTAGACCATTAAGCCACACCTCATCCCCTTTTAATAGTATTGGCTTTCCTATGGACTCAATGTGATCTTGGATCACCTAAACAAAAATGAAGAGTCTTGAGATTTTGTCAATCCTTGTCCTTAGCATTTTGAGGGGTCCATATCTCTATCTCATGCCATGCCATACATTGAACATCCTAAAATATTTATCTCATGCCATGCCACTCAATGTGATCTTGAAAGGATATTAGTTCAATGAGATATATGTTGTTATGAATTGCCAAAACCACCCGTGGATTAGTTGCACTTTCACTTATGTTGTGTGCTTGATCGTACTTTGCTTGCTTATCATGCTACCTATCCTTATTGTGCATGTTATCATGGTCATTCACATGTGTCTCACCGAATAAATAATTTTTTGGTTCAATCACACTGTATGAAGACGACAATATCTATTGCAAGAAGAACAAAACAATTGTAACACTGTATGTAGCAAGAGTTTATGAAGAGCATATATAACATAAAAGACTTTCTACCAAAATTTTGTGAATGATACAATTAATCCTACAATGGCCAAAGAACAAGTATGTGAAGGTTTGGAGATCTACCTTGAAGATCTACCACGAGTGATAGGACGATGTTTAAGTGATCTTAGCTCAAGAAGAATCAGGTGAAGACTTGGTCTTCTGAGTTAATTCTCAGCCCTCCAACCAGATGTAGAGTTGCCACAACAACTTGAACTGGTGCAACAAATCAATTGTCTTCACTGAGCCTCTGGTCCCATATTCTCCACTTCTATTTACTTTGAGTATCTTGCATGTTTGGAAGAACTTGATCCCTCTCCTCTCTAAAGAGTTTGCTATTCCGCTACATTTACTTATGCTCTATTTACTTTAGTGTCTTTTGTGATGAAATGTTTCTGTCTTATGTCAGTCTAGTTTCTTGTTTCCTTTTGTCACCTGCATGCTTTCCACTGTCCCAAAGACTTTGATTGCATGTTTTGCTTACCTTTTTTGCCTGTTCTAAGTTCTCTTTTGTTTAGTTCACTATTCTTCGAAGAATTTCTTGAAAATATCTCATTCACCCCTCCCCCATATAGTCGATTAAATACTCTTTCACACCCCCACAGTGTCGTCGCCCCTTAAAAATCCCAAGCTCGAAACCATCGAGAATGCTTCAGAAGGGGCAGATAGAGTAGGGAAGGGATACAATGTTGTTTCACGGCTGTGTTGGCGAGGAGTAATGGGATCCGGCAACGCTGCCTGCCTTTGCCTCCTCCGCCCACCTTTGGTGTCGCCAGAGAAATGAGGAGAGGAAGAGCGGTTTTTGAAACTGCCCTTACCCATCGCCCACAACATTTTTCTATGGGCACCACCACCAACGTCGACGCCATGGGCTGACCTGTGAGCCCAACGATTTGGATTCGTGTGCTCGCTCGCGAAGAGAACAACTTGCTCCTAGCGCCCTGACCAAGTTGCACCTGGAGCTCTAGGTGGGATCAATCTACGATCGTGCGCTCGCAACGACAGAGTCGTGCAGTTTTTTTTGATAAAGGGTGTCTTTATTAACTCAAAACATAGCATCAAGAAGATACAAATCATGATGAGTAACACCCGGCCTCTGCATAGCTAGGATGCACACAGACAAACACAAATAGTCTGAAAGAAAATAAAAAGATGACATATCGGCACTAGTAGAGTCAAATAAGACCGTCACTATGCCTATGTTGAAAGATGTGATGGGCCGATACGGAGGTTATGCTGCCACCCATGTTGGGAAAAAACCTCCATGGTCACTCGCTCCAATTGCATACACACCGCCTTGAGCAGCGGTTGGAACTCCATACGGTGAAGCATAGACCACGTATGAAGCGATTGCGTACAACAGAAAATAACCTGCAAAGGAGTGTCATTAAAAATCAGATCATTTCTACATAGCCAAAGCGACCATAATAAGGCATACGCTCCCACCCTTATTAGCGTTTTGAATCTATAAGGAATACCATCCAGCTAGTGACCAAAAATATTGGCAACACCTGTGGGCGGATAAAGATTAGACGCTATTTGGATGATTGACCACGTAGAACGTGAAAACTTGCACTGGAAAAAGAGGTGTTTGATTGTCTCGTCATGAGTACAAAAGCCACACTTCTTGCTTCCATGCCAGTTGCGACGAGCGAGGTTATCTTTGGTTAGCACCACTCCCTTCCGAAGGTACCACATGAAGATCTTAACTTTCAATGGAATCTTCGATCTCCAAATTTTCTTGTTTATTATCCACTAGGACCTCTGAATGCATGAGCGCATGGTATACATTGAGTGGACTGTGAAGGACCCAAATGCAGTGAGGTTCCAGTGGAACACATCTCGTCCTTGTGTTAGATTAATTGTATCCATCGGGACAAAAGATGTTTCCATGACACAAGACGGGGGCCAATCCAATCCCGCCTGAAAGAAATTTCTGGTGGAAAGGAACTGACCAACTGCGCAAGAGTTTCATTCTTATCGCGAACAATACGGTGCAAAGCTGGATTGTATTCATTCTTTTTCCAGTGCAAGTTTGATTTTCTTGGCATTCATGACCTGCAAGGCATTCATGACCTGCGCAAACTTGCACTGGAAAAAGAGGTGTTTGGTTGTCTTGGCATTCATGACCTGCAAGGCATTCATGACCTGCGCAAGAGTTTCATTCTTATCGCAGACTAACTAAGGCATCATTCTTGACTTGCAGGTCATGAATGCCAAGGCCACCTTGGTCTTTAGGCCTACAAACCACGCTCCATTTTGCCAGTCTGTATTTTTTCTTTTCATTGTTTCCTTGCCAAAAGAATCTGGAACTGAAATAATCCAGTCTTTGCAAGACCCCTCTTGGGACTTGGAAAAAAGAAAGCGTATAGAGAACCATGTTTGTGAGAACAGAGTTGATCAAGACCAGTCGTCCTCCAACAGAGAGCAACTTGCCTTTCCAACTGCTCAATCGTTTCTCTAAATGCTCCTCTACATGTTTCCAGCCCGCATTAGTGAGACGACAAAAATGAATCGGAATTCCCAAATATTTAATTGGGAATTGACCTTGTGCACAATAAAACAGGTCAGCATAATCATCCGTCGCCTCAATGGCTTCTCCAAAGCAGAACAATTCACTTTTATGGAAGTTGATTTTAAGGCCCGACATTTGCTCAAATGTCGAAAGCAAGAGTTTCAGGTTCCGAGCCTTGTCTAGGACATGTTCCATAAAAAGAATTGTATCATCAGCATATTGCAAAATGGAGAGGCCACCATCCACTAGGTGTGGCACTACTCCTGCAATCTGATCATCCTGCTTAGCGCGCTCAATCAGAACCGCTAACATATTAGCAACAATGTTAAATAACATTGGGGACATGGATTCGCCCTGGCGTAGTCCTTTTTTCGTTTGGAAGTAATGGCCTACGTCATCATTTACTTTGACGGCCACACTACCTCCAGTAACGAAATTTTAGATCCACTCGCGCCATTTATCGGCGAATCCTTTCATTCTTAGGGCCCATTGAAGGAAGCACCATTTGACCTTATGATAGGCCTTTTCAAAATCAATCTTGAGAACTACTCCCCTCATGTTTTTCCGGTGCATCTCATGAACGGTCTCATGTAGGATCACTACTCCATCAAGTATATTTTTTCCTTGCATGAAAGCGGTTTGAGATGGTTGGACAACATGGTCTGCAACCGTGTTGAGCCGATTAGTGGTCACTTTGGCGAAAATCTTGAAGCTGACATTAAGAAGACATATGGGTCGATATTGCTGAATCCGCTCAGCCTCCTTAATTTTCGGCAACAACACAATCTCACCAAAAATAAACCTAAAAAGCTCAAGTCGGCCGGCATGAAGACAATTGAACAACTTCAAAAGTTCAGTCTTAATGACTTCCCAAAAATTCTGATAGAATTCTGCGGGGAAGCCATCAGGGCCTGGAGCTTTGTTATGTTCCATTTGGAACACCACAACTTTCACCTCCTCCTCCGAGATTGGAGCCGTAAGAATATTGTTTTCTTCTGCCAAGACTTGTGGAATATCATCTGTTCGGGTCTCATCAAGGGTCAATTTAAATGTTATACTATTTATCAATTGAAGATCTGGGACGGAGGGAGTAAAAGTGAATTGCTGGCTCCATATCGAGGTACACTTTATGTCAAGACTAGTTACAAAATAGACAAATTTACGTTGATCACACGCAAAGAAATCCAGTACCCTGAAAAAGTTCCAGTAGAAAAGAAAAGGAAGAGGCAAACATAGTATCCTCGAAAAAAAAAACAATCACACGACATTAACCGCGAAAGGCGTCCGGACCGAGTGCGCGCCATCTGACCAGGTGACGGCGCCGTATGTGTACCCCTTGCTGGCCCCAACGCTCGCAAAACTCACCTCGTACGCCGCCGTTGTCCACCGCCTCGAGAACACCAGCCGCTCGGGCAACACATTCAAAGACAGGCCCGCCGGCGCCTCGACGGTCGCCGTGTACGTGGCGTTCGAGGGCCCCACGTTTATGGCGGTGCGCGAGACGGTGACCGTTTTCCCGGCCGCGAGCCTCGGCACGGAGATGGAGGGGTAGTTGAAGCCCGTGGCGATGAGATCCGGCGAGGGCGCGCCACGCGGGCAGGCGAACCCGGCGTCGCCGGAGACCATGCGAACCAGCTTGGCCTTGTAGCCGTAGTAGCAGAGGAAGTTGAGGTAGTCCTTTGCGGTGGTGTCAAACACCAGGCCCGGACTGAGCGCCCGCAGCGGGCTGATCTCGCCGGCGCCCATGTCGTGTCCGGTCGCCACCGCGCCGGTGTTGATCGCAACCGGCTGCCCAAGGTTGTTTCTCGTCGTCGCTGCAGCCATGATGGATCTCTTTGGTTAGAAATGCCGATCTACTTTGCTTAAATTTGTCGAGACTGATTGAAGGGGCACGTATTATGTATATACTCCCTCCGTTCCGATTTACTCGTCATGGTTTTAGTTGAAAGGAACGGAGGGAGTACCTGTGGTCATGAGAGCTGATCTGATCATGGACGGGGACCAGCCCGGGTGGGCCGACTTGACGAAGGCGGCGGCGCCTGCGACGTGCGGGCAGGCCATGGAAGTGCCGGACTTGATGGCGAATGCCGAGGCCTTGTTGCCGTCCGGGACGTCCGCCTTGTCTGTGGACGGCATGGCAGCGGCGAGGATGCTCACCCCGGGCGCCATTAGATCAGGCTGTCGGCAAGAAAAAAGAAACATCCTGTCAGAATGCAAGCTAGAAATGCCAGATTGGATCTTTCTCTTCTGACCCATGCTGATTAATCATGTGAACTACCTGAAGTAATAGTATTCTTTTTTCCGAAAAGGGGCGATTTATTATTTAAAAGGTTTAAGCATTACATCCGGCCTCTGCATAATTAAGATGCACACAGCCAACAAAGTTTTCACATCAAGGCAAAATAAAAGGATAAGGCGATATACAAGAAAAATGAAATCTGTATAACGCCTGAAGGTGGCCCAATCCTAAAATCATGCTGCCACCCACGTTGAATAAAAATATCCCTCGCCGAAGCCTCCAATCGTGTACACATCTCCATAAACAGGTTTCGATTATCCATTCATTGTAGAGAGGACCATAAACAAAGAGTAATAGTATTACTGACCTTGAGGATGGATTCGGTGAGACCACCAGGGCCGCGCGCTGAGAAGGACGCCACCATGGGCGCGGGCTTGAACAGCTTCACGTCCTCGGTTGGGAGGATCACGGCCGTCGGATTCCTGAACCAGGGAAACATCCATCATCCTTCATCTAGGAGTACTTTACTTCCTTTCTGGCCAGTGGTCACTGCTAAGTACTATAACACGGAAGGAAAAACTCCCGTTGGGTTGGGAAGCTGGGTTGGGAAGCTCACTTGGTGGAGTTGATGTAGTCGAGGATCTGCGCGCCCAAGTCGGCGCCCACCTGGGAGAAGGCGAAGCTGCCGGCGTCCAACGGCACGTCCTTCTCCGTGTCGTCGATCAACACCAGCCCACTCGCCCCGGACCCCTCCGCCACCAGCTTCTTCACCCGCCGCGACACCATCGAGTTCGTGCCCACGCACACTACCATCTTTCCGGCTACCTTCTGCACGTCCAGCGATCCCGGATAACAGTTGCTGCAATGAAATGCAATTCGTGACCAACACGCTCAAAATTCATCCCTCTGCACTCCATCTGCACCCGTCTACGCTCAAAATGGTCTTGCTGTACCTTGCCTCGGACACCGGCGTGTACCGGTCTGCCGCTTGTGCTCCCAACACCAGACGGAACCGCTCTCCGCTCAGGCTTTGGTTGGAGAAGTTGATGGCGACTCCCTGACATACCGCCTCACGTTCAGGACCACAGTCAGGTTGCAACAACAACAAGCATGGCAATGGCAACGCGTACCTTGACGACGTTCCCGTTGCCGAGGACGATGCTGGACTGGAAGGTGCGGTCGATGCTGGAAGCGGCGACGGTGAGGATCCACGGCGCCGAGTTGACCACCGTGTAGGGATTAGGGCCGTCGTTGCCGCCGGAGCAGACCACCAGGACGCCCCTCTGGTGCGCGTGGAACGCGCCCAGCGCGATGGGGTCGCTGAGGAAGTCGGACGCCAAGGCGGAGCTCATGCCGATGGAGATGGAGATCACGTCCACGCCGTCGCTCACCGCGTCGTCGATGGCCTTGAGCAATGCCGAGCTGGAGCACCCGCCCATGGCGCACACCTTGTACGTGGCCACGCGGCTCGCGGGCGCGCCGCCCTTGGCCGCGCCCCGGGCCAGGCCGTAGTAGTCCGCGTCCGCCACCACCGCGCCCGCGGCCGTAGATGCGCAGTGCGTGCCGTGACCGACGGTGTCTCGCGGCGAGCCGGTCATCGCGGCCGTTACCTCGCCAAGGGAGGCGTTAGACGACGTGGGCGCCGCCGAGCCGGCCTGGATGCCGTAGTACCGCGCCCCGATGAGCTTCCTGCGGCACACAATGCACGGTCTCA